TTCCGGGAATCAATATTGTATGATTTATTCCCTCGTTGTTGATATGACTGCTTCCTGTGGCTGCTCAGGCCCACCGATTGTCCCCATGGCAGCTTCCAGTGCTTGCTAGAGCCCACCCATGGTTCCCATGGCAACCTTCTCTGGCTGACCAACTCACCTGGTTCCCATGGTTGTATAACGCATTCTTTCTACAAAAACCCATCTAACTCTCCCCTCGGGATCACTCCCTGAGGGAAAGGAGAGCTGACCCCAGGTGGTTGGTCCCTTTACCTCCTGCCTCCTCAATAAATTTTGCTGCTTTGCAAAGTTGTCTGGGCTGCATTTCTTGGGGGAGAGAGGCTTGGCTTGGATGCAACTCCCCCCCCCTTTTTTTTTTAAATAAGAAAAAACAAAACTTCAAGGGTCACAGGGTTCTTTAAAAAATATTTATTTAATTGAAATGAAGATAGAGATCTTCCATTTGCTGGTTCACTCCCCACATGGCTGCAACAGCAGGAGCAGGGTCAGGCTGAAACCAGGAACCAGGAGCTCCATCTGGGTCTCCCACACCGGTGGTAGGAACTCAAGTACTTGGGCCATCTTTTGCTGTGGGGAGCTGTAGAGAGCCTGCAGCCCACACCCTAGACAGACAGGCCACAAACTGCTGCTTCCTGCTGTGGTAGAAAAAACAAGTCTCAGGAAGTCTGCTGTGATTGGCCCAGGGGTGCATGGATGGCGCGTGGACAGCACGTGATCTGTGTGATGATTGGCCTGCCTGCTGCGTGCACAGGTGACCTTTACGTTGATTGGCCGGGTTACCCAATATACAAGGGAGCCAGAGAACCGGGGAGGGGAGAGAGAGAGCGCGACTTGGAGAGAGAGAGGGAGAGAGCGCACCTCACCAAGATGTAGCTGCTGCACGCCTCGCGATGTGGCGGCTGCGCGGCGGCTGCATGGAGGCCACTGTGCAGCCGCTGCGCACAGGTTTTGCTGTGTCATCTCCACAATAAAGGTTCCACAACGACAACGAGTGTCTGGGGTTGACTTGCTGGCCAAGGGACCCTGACATTCTGCTGCTTCCTGCAATCAAGGAGCAGCCAGGACTCAGACCAGAAACTCTGAAATAGGTAGCAGACATCCCCCCAAATGGCTTTGCTCTCATACAATACATAGATCAGACCCAGTGTACTTCTCAAAGGTTATATTTACTTTTTATTTTTTAATCTCTTACCAGGCTGATTCGTGAGTTTGATGCACAGCTGCCAACTGTTACCACTATTGGTATAGCCATTGATGTCGCTGCTTAAATAACCAATGGGGCAGGAAATACACCAACAAAAGAGATTACACTCACAAACTTAATGCGATTGAGATTCAAGTGGGAATGGTTCGTTTGGGTCAGATATTCATCAAACTGGAACTAGTTACTTGAAAGCTTCTTTATGAAGAAACAGAAAATCAACTGACATTGAATAATAGAAGATCCTGTAGTTTCTTCTGGGGATAGCCCAAAAGCACCCGGTCCTGTGACTCTTGAGAGGCAACCAGGAAAAGCTGCTTCAAAGTCTACAAGGCGAGCCTGGCATGATAGCCTAGTGGCTAAACTCCTTGCCTTGAATGCATCAGGATCCCATATGGGTGACGGTTCTAATCCTTGCAGCCCTGTTTCCCATCCAGCTCCCTGCTTGTGGCCTGGGAAAGCAGTCGAGGACAGTCCAAAGCCTTGGGACTCTGCGCCCATATGAGAGACCCAGAAGAAGCTCCGGGCTCCTGTCTTCAGATCGGCACAGCTGCAGCCACTTGAGTAGTGAACCATCGAATGGAAGATCTTCCTCTCTGTCTCTCTCCTGTCTGTATATCTGACTTTACAATAAAAATAAATTTAAAAAAATTTTTAAGTCTATAAGGCAATCATTTCAATGCTATCCTGACAACTCCAACAAGGTCCTGGCCACTAAACTTAAAACAGATTGTAAAGTTTTTATTGTATTCCAAACTTCCTCAATCAAAGTTAAATCACTTTGTAATGTATCTTATACTGTCTATTTTTAGCTTATAATGATATATAGTGAATGTTGGAAAGCTATGGATATATAGATACAAATAGATTTATTTGTGGTTTATAGGGCCTCTGGTCAACAGCATCTCAGTTGGATCCTCCGGGAGAAAAAAGATCTGGGTTTCAGGAACTGGAAATAGAGGCTCTAGAATTGCTGAAGTGATGAGTTAAAATAGCTTAGGAATGTGCTCTTTGTTGGGGAATAGCCACATGAGGACACATTTTAGTCATTAATGGGGATGCAGGCCAGATTGCTCTCCAAGAAATCCCGCTCTCTCACTTTTTCCAGCCATTCTTGCCCGAGGACACGGAGGGATTAGGCAAGCTCGGTAGGAAAGCTGCGCCTGCATTCGGTGGTAGGAGTTTGAGCAGGGTGTGCGCCATGCGGGGTGTAAAGACAAACAAGGGCAGCTCCCTGGTTCCCCGCCAAGCAAGAGAGGAGCATTCTGGTCACTTCCAGAAAGACCACGCTTCTCCAAGTTTAGAGGCCAAGGAGATGCATCTGCCTCCGGAGGATGACACGACCCCTCTCCCCCTGCGCTCTGACATACGGCCAAGCCTCACTTCTCCATTGCTACATGTCAAGAGATTTTGTTAATTCATGAAGAATTCATTTGGTGAGGCATCTGAGCACCCAGTACAGTGAGATCAAGGCTCCTAACTGGGAGCGCAACATCTGGAGGATTCTTGGGTTTCAGAATTTATAGATCTTGGACCCTCCATTCTGACTTCACTTAAGATCTCATTCAGACCTAGGGCCTAACCCCAAGTTGTTTCAACATGATGTCAAAGAGGCCAACCCAGGCTCTTGATTTCTTTTTATTTTCTTTCTTTCTTTTTTTTGCTTCCAGTTTCTCTCTCTCTTCTCTCTCTCTCTCTCTCTCTCTCTCTCTCTCTCTCTCTGTCTCTGTCTCTCAGATGTATTTATCTTAAAGGCTTAGTTACAAATAGAAGAGAAGGTAAAGCAATCTTCTATCTGCTGGTTTACTCCCCAAGTGGTCACGATGCCTGGAGCTGCACCAGTCCAAAGCCAGGAGCCAGGAGCTTCTTCCAGGTGCAGGGGTCTAAGCAATAAATTTTGTTAGAGCTGGTGCTGTGGCATAGCAGATAAAGTTGCTGCTTGCAACAACTGGTGTTCCACGTGGGCAAGAGTGAGTCTTGAGGACTCCACTTCTGATCCAGCTCCGTGCTAATAGCCTAGGAAAGCCAGCAGAAGATGGCCTGAGTTTTGGGTTTCTGCCACCCATATGGGAGACCCAAAAGAAACTCCTGGCTCTTGACTTTGTCCTGGCTCAGCCTTGGTCATTTCAGCTGTTTAGGGAGCAAAATCAGCAGATGGAAAATCTCTCTCTCTCTCTCTGTCTCTCCTTCTCTCTCTGCAACTCTGTTTATTAAATAAATAAATATATACATTTAAAACATTGATTTTATTGCTAAAATCTCATTGTAAATTTGCATTTGCTTTTTGGTGAATTACCTGGTTTGGGCCTTTACCTGTTCTTAGTGGTTGTAAAATCAATTTGTGTGAATTTTTGTGTATTAAAGATACGCACACTTGAACCTGTGACATTTATTGCAGATTTTCCCTAGTAGTTCGCTTTTAATTCTGTTTGGCGAGCACATGAGGCAAATCCTCATAGGTAAAGTTATACAACTTTTTGCTTGTGAGTTGTTTCGAAGTTATTCAGTTTAGTTTGTTCTTTTCCATCAGGGGATTTGAAAATATTTTCCTGGAGTATTTTAGTCAATTTTAAAAGCTAATTTAAATCTTTCATGCACCTGTTATTAATTCTTACATGTGCTTTTTTTGTGCGTGTGTGTGTATTTGCAAGTCAGACAGGGAAAGAGATATTTTTATTTGCTGGTTCATTTCCCAAATGTCTGCATCAGCCAAGGAGAGGCCACAGCCAGGGGCCAGCACTTGTATCTAAGTTTCCCAGGTGGGTGGCAGGAATTCTAGTTCCCAGATGTGTATTAGCGGGAAGCTGAATCAGAAGCAGAGGCAGGATTCAAATCCAGGCACTCTCTTACGGGAATGAATGTGTCTTAAACAGTAGCTTAGTTTCACCGTGCCACAAAGCATGCCCTCGTCCGTATTTAATTTTCACATAATGTGTGAGGCCTTATCGAAGGTCTCATATCTAAATTGTTATCTATTTGCATATATGTATGTATATATTATAGTATATTTATTTATTTATTTGCAGAATTGGTACCTTATCTTCATTTTAGACATTTCATCTAGATACATATGCGCAAATCTATCTGTGGATGTTTTTAATAAGGGCAGAGCAGAAGTGACTCTATACCTGCCAAAGTCAAACTCCCATCCAGGAACGCATGGAATCCTGAATCACCCTAACCTTGTCTCTGAGCTAAAGGTCAACATCCACTACGACTGGCACCCAGCTACACGTCACACGCATACACAGGATGAGGAGCTGCTGCCTTCTCCATCCTCCACGCCTCAGATGTGTAAAATGTTTAGACCCGATGCTGTATACGCTGGGCGCCATTCTCCTCACGTGATCACCCCACCTGCTGCACCCCCTGCTGCCTGGAGCAATCAGGGCGCTCTCCCCTAACTAATAAAACTCTTTGCCTGAACTAAAAGTCTCTCTCTCCCAATCTCCTCCAAGCCTAACAATACATAGCATATACGTATGTATATATAAAATGATTTGTCTCTTTTTATTCTACAACACGCTATTCCAATTTTACGATGTATTTTTCCATACAGGAAGAAGAATCTTACTATTACTTTCATTCTTTATATATTTCTTCTTGGCCGTTAAGTTTATTTTTAATGGTTTGCTTATTTATTCACTTTTTAAAACAATTTTGTTGTTCATGATGCAGAGCCATAGGCTCACGGATTTCCTCCTCCATACCCTCAATTCCCCTCCCCCTCCACTCTTTTCCCCTCTATTATTGCTGTAGTATAATTTTTCAGCAGCAGCTGGAAAATATGGAATGCTTCACAAATTTGCGTGTCATCCTTACACAGAGGCCATGCTAATTTTCTCTGTAGCATTCTAGTTTCAGTGTGTGTTCTGCTGCTGAAAGGAGCATCATTTATTTCTTTAAAAGGCAGAGCTACAGAGAGGGGAGAGACAGAAAGACAAAGACAGATCTTTCATTCGTTGGTCTACCTTCTAAATGGCGTAACAGCCTAGTGATGGCCGGGGCTGAAGCCAGGAGCCAGGAACTCCATTCTGATGTACCACATGGGTGGCAGGGGCCCAAGAACTTTGGCCACCATCCGTTGCCTTTGCAGGTGTATTATCAGAAAGCTGAATGGGAAGTAGAGCAGCTAGGACTCAAACTGGGACTCGGATGTGAAATGCTGGCATTACAAGCAAATCTTAATTCACTGTGCCGCAACGCAGACCCTGCTATGTTGATTCTTTTAAGTAACTGTGAATTGGATATTTGTCAGACAATTCCTAAGGAAGCTATCTACTTTGGAGAACTTTCTGCCGCATGAATCCTGCTCCATTCTATGCCCCCATGCAGAAACCAGAAAACATATTTTCTCAGTCTACTGTACATAAGGAATGGTCAAGTGAACTTGGTCTGTACACACCCAACACACAGATGTGGAACGTTGAGGTGAGAAACAAAGAACAAGGGCCTGGCACAGTAGCTTGGTGGCTAAAGTCTTTGCCTTGTACGCGCCAGGATCTCATATGGGCAGAGGTTCTAATCCCAGCTGTTCCACTTCCCATTCAGCTCCCTGCTTGTCGCCTGGGAAAGCAGTAGAGAATGGCCCAAAGCCTTGGGACCCTGTGTGGAAGATCTGGAAGAAGCTTTTGGCTCCTGGCTTCAGATGGGCTCAGCTCTGGCCATTGCAGCCACTTGGGGTGTGAATCAAAGATGGAAGATCTTTCACACTGTACCTCCTTATCTCTGTAGGGCTGACATTCCAATAAAAATAGTCTCAAAAGTGAAAGAAATGGGCCCAGCGGCGTGGCCTAGTGGCTAAAATCCTCACCTTGAATGCTCCGGGATCCCATATGGGCGCCGGTTCTAATCCCGGCAGCTCCACTTCCCATCCAGCTCCCTTCCTGTGGCCTGGAAAGCAGTCAAGGACAGCCCAAAGCCTTGGGACCCTGCACCCGTGTGGGAGACCCGGAAGAAATTCCTGGCTCCTGGCTTCGGATCGGCATAGCATTGGCCGTTGTGCTCACTTGGGGAGTGAATCATCAGACGGAAGATCTTTCTCTCTGTCTCTCCTCCTCTCTGTATATCCACCTTTCCAATAAATAAATAAATAAATCTTTTTTAAAAAAAAAAGTGAAAGGAAGGAAGGAAGGAAGGAAGGAAGGAAGAATTTCAGAAAGAATAAGAAGGTGCAGGCTCCAGCAGACCAATGAGTGAGGCATCCAGCTTTGGGCTGGCAATGCTGTGAGGCTGAGCTCCAGGCACGCACGTGACATTGGTTCAGGCGTCAGCAGTGTGTGTAGTTGATTTATGTCTTTGACCTAGGTGTATTTTGGCTTAGGGCCCAACCATAGAGATTGCTTTGCCACATGGTCTGGGCACCGTCCCTGGGAGCTCAGAGGTTCTGAGTTACCCAATGCCTGGGAACGTGTGTGTGTGTGTGTGTGTGTGTGTGTGTGTGTGTGTGTGTGTGTGTGTGTGTGTGTGTTTTCCGTGCAAACCAGTGGGAGTGCGTGAATGCTGATCTAAGAATCTTGGCTGACACATAGGCGAGTGTACATTTGGGAAAGAAGCTGTGATATGCAGAACCAATTGTAGGTGTTATTGGGAGTCCACTCTGCCCCTTAATGTTTAAAGCGTGGTTCTAGGATGGGCCTTGTGGCACAGAAGGTTAAGTCACTGCTTGGGATGCTGGCATCTTGCTGCAAAGTGCCTCATCCGAGTCCCAGCCACTTAGCACTTCCTGCTGTTGCACGTGAGAGGATGCTGGCTCCAGGGTGTGGAGTCCTGCCCCTCACGTGGGAGGCCAGCATGGAGTGCTTGCTTGCTCGCTTTGGCTTGGCCAAGCCTCTGCTGTTGGCCAATTGAGGAGTGAATCAGCAGAAAGAAAGCCACTTTGTTCTCTCTCTCTCTCTCTCTCTCTCTCTCTCTGCCTTTCAAATACATAAATCTTTCAAAAATAAATACACGAAGTGTGTTGTTCCCGTGGGTCATAGCACCAGTGGCACCTGGAAGTTAGAAATGCTTCCTTCTGCTCAGGCCTGCTGGATCCAATTGCGCATAGCAATAAGATCTCTATGGGGAATTTGTAAACAGACTGAAAAGACCCAGAGAGATTAGGCCCAGAGTGATAGCGTAGTGGCTAAAGTCTTCGTTTTGAGTGCCCAGGATCCCATATGAGCACCGGTTCTAATCCTGGCAGCCCCACTTCCCATCCAGCTCCCTGTTTATGGCCTGGGAAAGCAGTCGAGGACGGTTCAAGGCTTTGGGACCCTGCACCCGTGTGGGAGACCTGGAAAAGAGCTCCTGGCTCCTGGCTTCAGATTGGCTCAGCTCCAGCCGTTGCAGCCTCAGGAGTGAATCATCGGACGGAAGATATTCCTCTCTGTCTCTCCTCCTCTCTGTGTATCCGACTTTCCAATAAAAAGAGAGAGAGAGGGACCCAGAGAGAGCAACTCTGGAGTGTGGCTGCACAGTAAAGCCACTTGGGAGTCACTTCCCATGACGTTGATGTCCACTAATAGCCTTCCTGGCCACAACTTACTCAAGCAAGAAATTTCAGCAGATACTACAATCACAGGCAAAAGGTTGTCGGGGGAACAGATTGCTGACACAATGTAAAAAGCATCTTCGCAGATCATGTATGAAACACAGAGGGGCAAATTATCTGTGCAGTCGATAAATCTCCAGAGACCGCATAAGCAGGTGGTGAAACTTAGCATCACAAACAATAATAGGACGAGCTGACATCAGGGATACTGATGTGATGTCATGAGGACAGATCATCACCCTTGAGGTGTTTCTGTCAAAAGAGGAAAAGAAAAAGAAAGACAGGAAGGGTAGGCATTGTTGTAGCGGTTAAGAATCCAATTGGGATGCCATATCCTGTATCAGCTGCCTGCGATAGGGTCCCCAGGTGCCTGTGCTAGGGTCCCGGTTGTCTGTGTTAGGGTCCCAGCTGCCTGTGTTAGGATCCTGGGTGCCTGTGTTAGGGTCCTGGGTGCCTGTGTTAGGGTCCCCAGCTGCCTGTGTTAGGGTCCCGGGTGTCTGTGTTAGGGTCCCGGGTGTCTGCGTTAGGGTCCCGGGTGCTGTGTTAGGGTCCCCAGCTGCCTGTGTTGGGGTCCCAGCTGCCTGTGTTGGAGTCCCGGGTGCCTGTGTTAGGGTCCCGGGTGCCTGTGTTAGGGTCCCGGGTGTCTGTGTTAGAGTCCCGGGTGTCTGCGTTAGGGTCCCGGGTGCTGTGTTAGGGTCCCCAGCTGCCTGTGTTGGGGTCCCAGCTGCCTGTGTTGGAGTCCCGGGTGCCTGTGTTAGGGTCCCGGGTGCTGTGTTAGGGTCCAGCTCTGTTCCAGTCTCCTACTTAAGCAACAACAACGGTTCAAGTTGTCGAATTCCTGCCACCCACATGGGAGAGCTCAGGTGAGTTCCTGGTTCCCAGTGTTGGCTTGTGTCCTGAGCCAGGACTGCTACTGGCCCATCAAGTTGGCTCCATGGCTAAATCATCACCCTTCAAGCTCCTGGTGCCATAAGGGTGCTAGTTTGTTTCCTGGCTGTTCCACTTTTCTTCCAGCTTCCTGAATGTGGTCTGGGAGAGCAGTCAAGGATGACCCAAAGCTCTGTGACCATGCACCTGCGTGGGAGACCTGGAAGAGGCTCCTGGCTCCTAGCTTTGGATTGGCTTAACTCTGGCTATTGCAGCTATTTGCGGAACGAACTAGTGGATGGAAGATCTTTCTCTGTCTCCTTCTCTCTATAAATCTGATCTGCCTTTCCAATAAAAATAAAGAAATCTTAAAAAAAAAAAAAAGTGAACCAGCAAATGACAGTCCATGCACTCTCCCTCTTTCTTTCCCTAGCACTCAAATAAGGAAATACATTTTAAAAGGCTTTTGCTTACCGTTATGAAATGAAGCATAAGACTGAACTAGAAAACAAGGCGGCCGCTTACCCAAAAAGGGAAGAGGGGAGCAGAAGGGAGCCACAGCACTCTTTTTTTTTTTAAGATTTATTTTATTTTTATTGGAAAGGCAGATATACAGAGAGGAAGATCTTTCGTCTGATGATTCACTCCCCAAGTGAGCGCAACGGCCGATACTATGCTGATCCGAAGCCAGGAGCCTCTTCCAGGTCTCCCACGCGGGTGCAGGGTCCCAAAGCTTTGGGTTGTCCTTGACTGCTTTCCCAGGCCACAGGAAGGGGGCTGGATGGGAAGCGGGGCTGCCGGGATTAGACCCAGCACCCATATGGGATCCCGGGCGTGCAAGGCGAGGACCTTAACCACTTGTGCCACCGCGCTGGGCCCGCCACAGCACTTTTAACGGGAGCGGACTTCAAAAGCTCATGGAAGGAGCAGGTTTGGCATGATAATAAAAGTCTCGTGTTGGAGTGCCTGCTTGGGGTCTTGGCTCTTGCTTCTGATTCAGATTCCTGCTGATGAGCATCCTGGGAGCCAGAAGGGGGTCTATAACATGTTTAAGTCCCTTCCACCTGTGAGAGATGCTCCAGCTGAGTTCTGGGCTTCTGACTGCAGCCTGGCCCAGTCCTGGCGGGGGCAGGGATATGGGGGGATGGCATTCAGCAAATGGAAGCCTGTGTCTCTCGCTTTTTTTTTTTGTCCCTCTGTCTTTCAAATAAAATTAAAAAAAAAAAAGCAATGGAAGAGAAATACAAGGAGCTCATAAAATGCAATCGAGAGATGAATTTATATGAAATCCATTGACTTTTTCCAGTTCTTGGAAATAGGTATTGTGTAAAGCTGTGTGCAGATTTCAGAGGGTTTTTTTTTTTTTTTGGCACCAAAATATGTACTTAATTCCAGTCATCTGCAACTTTTTGAAGTACCCTTTTTGTATGGCTTCAACTTTTGAAAGCATCACAAATCTTAAATAAAAAAAAGAAGAAGAAAGAAAAAGC